TACGTCCACGGAAGAATGCAGTGACAGCCGGGCCCCGCAGTTCCGAGGTACCTGCCGCACGCCTCCAGCAGCGCCACTTCCGACTGCTCCACGGAGGTGCAGCAGAAGCACTGGCCCATTTCCACTTCCTTCGATCCGCCGCGATCAACCGTGTGGCCGCCCCGCGCCCCCCCCTCTGTTTCCCTCCTGTGGTCCTCGCGCGACTACCCCTGAGCCCCTCGCGCCCGTGTGCCCGGCAAAAAAAAAAGGTGGGAGGCGGGGAGGGAATGCAGCACGCAGAGGGGGCAGCAGCGCCGCGGCGTCCACGAGATGGTGCGTGGCGTTGCCCCCGGCACTCATTGAAGAAGACGCAGAAACACGCATGAGCACAGAAAAACAAAGAGCTCACTGCGGCGGGTGGTGGAAGACACGCGGAAAAAGCCGGCCCCACGTGCCCTGCAATCCCACCGCTGGACGCATGCACGCGTCCCACCTACGCGGGGGACACTCAACAAGACATAAAATAAAAACAACAACAAACTCTGCCACGCACACAAGAGCGCATCCGAACCCCTCCCCCCTCCCCCGCCACGTACAAAAACAAAACACACACATAAAGAATACGAAGGAAAACAATAAACACTTTTGGGGGAAAAAACAAAGGTATTTATTAAACAACTGACAATCAGAAACAACAGTCCATATCCATATACATATACGCCTAGATATGTTTACAGGCTGTCTCTTGTATGGCCGTACACACAGGCATATCATATATACACACACCAAGTCTGACAGTTTCTACTGCACAGCATGACGGGGCCCGGAGAATAAAGGGGAGGGGGACATGTGCTCGGGTATTCGCTGTTACTGGTGGAATGTTTAGTGGGGACGTCCCACAGGACGCCTGGGGCAGTACTCCACCACACGAATTGGGCGTAGATGCAGCGGCGCCGCAACCGCCTCTGACGTCGCGCGTGGCTCCTCGACGGCGGGCGTTTGTTCATGCGAGTCTGCATTGCCCTCTGCCACTCCTGCGACCTCTCCGCCCCCCGCTTGTTGTTGTGGTGGCGGGTGGTGCGCTTCGTCTGCAGTCTCCACCACGACATGCTGCGCATTGTGCATGGTTTGGGTCCGGATGAACTTCCGCCCCCCGCGAACGACGCCAACACCAAAGCTGAGGAGCTTCATGTAAAGCACCGCGCCAATGGAGGGGGAGGCCTCCCAGTTCCACGCCACACTGCTGGTGCGGTAGATGAAAGGCTTCCGCAGGTACCCAAGGCAAAGGGGCCTGCCCAACGCCGATCACGCACACCGCCACAACCTTCGCCGTGTTTCGGGGCGTCCAAAACTCCGGCAAAACCTGAAACTCCCGCACATGCGCCTCGGTCTCCTCCCGCACGTGCCACCAGCTGTAGACGAGGGCGAGGGATAAGGTGGCGAGGGAAGTAAGCATAAAGTACCCAAACAGGGTGAGGATGACGCCGTCCAGGTTAAACATCGTCGCGCAGTTCACGCGGCGCCAGGGGGACTCTACAGGAGATGCTCCCCAGCGCGTTGCGAAGGAGCACCGAGAGGCCCGCAACGAAGACAACGGTGGAGACGGCGAGGGTGATGGCAAGCACAAAGTGGCGTGAGCTTTGCCACAGGAGCGTGCCCCGCCGAATGGATGCGTTAAAGGGCTTCTTGCAGGTCTCGCACCGGTTTATATTGCGAATGTTACGCTTCGTACTTTCGAGGCGCCAGCGGTCCAGGCAGCTGCGGTGCACCCACCGCACGGAGCCAGTGCACTCGCACGCCGACACAAGCTTCTCTTCCTCCTCCCCGTCATGGCAGGTGCGACGGACGCCCTCTTCCTCCTCCTCCTCCCCACCCTGACCTGTGCCGCTACCGCCAGAGTTGTTCTTGGACACATTGCCATGGCCCCTATGAGTACTGTTATTATTCCCGCTGCTCGGGCCGGGACTCTCATCAACAGCCGCGTATGTCTCGTGCTGCGACTGCAGCTGAAACGGCGCGGGCGGTGTGGGGCCATCGTGCATGCCGGGCCGACGCTCTGTCTCCTGCATGAGGTGACGATGCCGTTTCTCCAGCTGACGCTGTCGCGCACGAACGCGTCGGTTGCGGTAGATCCCCCAAAGCACCGTGCCGCCCCCCCACCGCCGCCTTGATGACGGCGTCCCGCAGGAGGTACGGCAGGTACCACAGCCAGCTGATGACGTCAATGTCGACGAGGTACCCGGGGAGCAGGTCAATGCGCCACAACAAAAACGGCGCCGCCAGCAGCAAAAAGGCAAGCGGCAGGCCAAGCGCAAACACATCCTGCATCCGCACCATCTCCTCAGCGGGCATCTGCTCAAAGAACAGACGCACCTGGCAGGTGTAGTTGTGGACCGGCAGCATGTACCCGTGGCGGGCGCTGACGATGAAGTGGTGCTGCATTGCCACCGGCGCCGGCTCCACACGCAGCATCACCGTCGGCAGGACGTCGCAAAAGGAATTGCTCTCAAGAATAGTCGCCATCGCGTTCCAAAATATTGCCCATGCGCTCGGCGGCTTGCTTCGTCGCGGCGGCCCAGACGGCTCCCCCGCGGTGCCT